GAAAAAGGCAGAAGGAAAACAAAAGTTTTATTAATACATATAATTAAAATGTGAAAATATTAGCGATTTATACGAAATATCTCTGTTGCGGAAAAATGAACGAGGAATGATACCATACCTTAGCAAAAGCTTAAGCTGCGTTCAGACATGTAACCGAACCTAAAGTGTCGTTTACACGCTCAAGCCATCTTAACGTTTTGGCTTGTACAAGCCCGATCGCTCAAGCAAATCGTTCCGTGTAAACGCAGATCTGAAGTTTGGGCAAACCGAAAAATTTGCCTTGAGTAAAATCTTCTTCATATGGGATCGTTAGCTTGAGCGTGCAAACGATGTTCAAGCCAGGTTTATGGGTTTCGAATGAAATATTACTACCATGTGCGGGAGTCCCTTGGTTGTATTATCGTTTAAAGCACTTATTTCCTAATATTACAGTTGCATTCCACATATTATCAAACTCTTTATTGATTTAAGTAATTGTTTGGATTAACGGATAATTTTGTTTTTGTGAACGCCTTTATAAAAATAAGCTTAAATGTGAGTACATTTGTTCGCACATTTTTCACAGGACTCTCAGGGTGAATAAAAAAATAAAGCCATAAATTTGAATTAGGAAAAGGAACGCAGACAAAGGTACGGTGGCGGGATCCCGTTGCAATCTATTGTACACTAGTGGACAAGTGTTCTGCAGGCGCCACAGCTGGAGCTAGTACCAATACCGATGCAAAAAGTATTACCTACTTTTTGCTAAAATTTTAGTCTGCATTTAGACACAAGTGCTCAAGCTTCAGTTACATATTGAATTTGTGTGAAACGCCGTCTCATGACATGTGCAAAATGTGGCTAATGAGATTACAGCGACCGCACACAACTTCCTTTTAATTTTCAAGTTCATATTTTTCTTTATAACACACACTGCAGCCCTTACAAGAATTAATTCTTCACCCAAATGTTCCGTCTTGTTGGCAACAATACAATCTTAGGTGTTCCTTCTTCACATCTGGGTAAAACGAACTGAACGTCATAGAGAAAGTAAAATAATTTTACTTATAATAATATTACTTATTTTACTTACTCTATGCTGAACGTGTAAACACCAGACTTTTGTTCAGTTCATTTGCACAGATCTGGCTTGCGCAAACCAGATCGTTCAGATGGCTTGAGCGTGTAAATGGGTTTTAAGACCATGTTCGGTTCTCTTAGGTACAAAATAGGACTAGGAATAAAATCGTTAGATATTCGAGTGTTCGAATAATTTTACTATTCAAATAATCCACTAAACGAGCCGTCGGTTGTGGGTAAAGTGGCACACCACCAATGGAAATTCGAATAAATAAAGCGTTTTAACGTTACGCAAGTTTAGGCGGAAAACCTAGCAATTCGTTGAATAGTTTGACTGATCTGAACTCTGAACGAAACATTTTAAAAGGCGTTCGAACAATTCGACGAACAAGGTGTTGCCAGGTTATGCTAAAAAACCGCAGCAACAAAACAAGTGCCTTAAGACTTAGAATAAAACCGATTTTTTGTGTAACAGCAAAACGCGATAACCTAACAGAATACTGCGACAGCACGGTCAATTCTTATCGCTTCGTTCCCAAACATTAATTTAAATGTCTGGTTATTACCATACATTAAAAGTGAAAGCATGCACAGTTAAAAAAGCATTTGTAATAATAACTTCAAAACCCCGTATACTGATACTATGGAAAGCTCCAAAGCTCCTAATGTCAAACTCGGCATAAACTGGCTTAGTGAAAACCAGTTTAATCATCGGGCTCATTTAGCTGCTATATATTTTTTACCTGGGCTGGTCACAAATTAACATTAATTCCAAGATTGTTATTATTTCAATATGCTGGTCATATGTTTGTTATTTGTTATTATCGTTTAATATTTTAGCCATTTCTTGCAAGTCTCTCCGTTTCTCTTTTCAGTCGTTGCTCCATTTCATGGCATGAGCTTCGCTATCCTTCGGTATTTTCTCCGGTTCTCATTACTTCTGTCATTGACATATTTGTAAGGTCCTTGACTTGGTTTATGAATCTTACAGGAGATCTAATTCTTGATCTTTTGCCGTCCACTTTCCCTTGAATCACAATCTTCTCTATGGATATTCAGTTTATTGCGTATGGAATATATTTGTCCTATGGCTGTCCAAGCGATGCTCAAGATCTTGCGGTAACGCATCATTTCAAACGTTTATATTCTTTTGCGGCATGCTGCGTTTAACGTCTAAAGGTGCGTCCAGACCGCAGCGCACTACCGCGCCAAACATTCGCGAACGTTCACACACAATTTGCGTCTACATTGCTGCAACCATAATTTTAAATAATTGCATTTGCCAAGGTTTCAGCTTGCGCGGCGAAATAAATCTGCTGTTCATCATGGATGATGCAAAAATTGCAGCGGCAGCGTTCATAATTTTATGTGATTTATCTAAAAGGAAAAAGAGTGTGAATAGACGTTATTGGACGACCCGTATATTTCAGAGCAGAAGCTTATACAGTGGCAGTGACTTGCTATACGACCTGGCAATTGAAGATACTGGACAATTTAAAATTTTCTGTCTCTTGTCTACGCAAAGCTAGTAAATGCAAACCATTTGCTGGAATAAACGTCCTTCTGTCCTAAAATGTATCAAGTTCTTTAAGTTTATGTGAATGTAATATATAAAAATACCTTGTCCAGTTCTTGTTTTAGTTTTAATTTTGGTTCTTTACCTTCGAAATGAAGACAACAATGAACTTTTTTAATTTTTGTTTCTGTTTCGATTTTCAGCCATGCATCGTATTTTTGATTTCGTAAGTGATAATTTTTATTACCGCAATCCCATAAGTCACACTGATTTTCGTATAAATTTATCAGATGTAATATTTTCTCGTGGTCCCAGTCATTTTCTTCAGATTCGCACACGCGCGCATAGAAAACTGCTACCAGAAATTAGTTTTGCCTAAATAAATTTGCCCGAACACGAACATTTCTTTGATGTACCGACATCAACCGGAACATATTTGTCATTGCGCGCAGTCGCGCGGCTTTGCGGGTTCGTGTACAGGATACCATCCTAATTAGTCATATTTCTTCAAATTTGCTACGTTCGCGAATGTTTGGCCCGGTATTAAGCTGCGGTCTGGACGCACCTCAAGATTCTAACCTATAGGTTGAGAGGAGGAATATCAGCGTTTTGAGTCTCATTTTGAACATTTTCCGGATATTGTGGTCTTTCCAGATTTTAACTAGTTTGCCCAAGGCTTATTTTCCTATTCCAATCCTTCTCCTGATTTCTGGTTCAAAACCTCCTTCGTTGGTTATTTTTAATTAGCAGCTTCCACACGTTGAAGTATTTGAAACATTTCCTGTTCGTTTTGTTCCAGAACTATCATGTCATCCGCATATCGTAGGTTTAAGAGTTTTTTTCCGCCAATAGAAACTCCGCCTTCTCAGTTTTGTAGAGATTTTCTAATAATCCATTCTCCGTATGTTAAAGAGAATTGGGAGAGAATGCAGCCTTGTCTGACGCCTTTTTCGACTTTCTGTCTGACTGCACTTTCTTTACTTTGTCAAGTAAACCAATCAGGAGTAAAATCATAATGTTAAAGGGTACAGTAATAAGCAGAATTTGTGGTGACATTAATTATTTAATGTAGAAACAGCCAGACCGTTTTCGTGGCAAAGTTACGAGTATGTTATAGTTAAAAAACAGTTTTAAACCCTACTTATCCAACTGTTTGCCTGACTTTAGAAATTCTTTCTATCTGAAATTATACAATTCCATCTCATAACTCTATATTTCCTTAACGCCATTACTTTAAATAAAGAAATTGTATATTATTCAACCAACAAAGCTCCTAATGAAAAATCGAAACAGCAAAATAAAATGTTGATGAACATTTTACTGCTGAACAATTAAATCATTTGGAATTTTTAAAATTCCTCATCCTTTTTCTTGCATTACTCAAGACATCCTATACTGGGCTAAAATTCTTTATTCTTTATACTTTCTGTTGGAGTTATTAAAACAGGTATTCTAAAATAAAATAATTCTTGCTGGACTTTAACGACAAGATACTTTATGGTACTATTTCCATAATTTTATTATGATAAAGTTTTCAATTTTATGCTATACACCTAAGTACCTATAGTGCCTAATTACCTATAGAAAATCGAAATCTCTAAATATATTTCAGCATTGAACTGTGCTAATTGGTCTTAATTTACCCAGTCCTGAATCTCTTACAATGTTCGAGATATGATAAAATTTACTTTCTCGTATACCAGTACGTCCATCAAGTTTCAAAACCTTGGGTATTTTATCTCAAATCTCGAGTCTCGAGAACTATATAGAACTTTTTTTCCACCTACTTATGTTACCTATGTGAAGGTCTAGAATTTATTCAAATCTGATTATCTTATAAAAATCGACAAATTCGTTAGTTATGGAAAATATGTGGGTAAATTATTGGTTGCCAAATCATGATACGCATAAAGCGAAGCAGCCCTTAACAATGCCCTGTGATGAAAACTGCTTGGAAGTGATTCACATGGAGGCAACGTGTGTCTGTTATTGTAGTCTGGTAATGGATTCGTTTCCATATCCGGATAAGTGGAAGGCAATGGCTCTTCATACATCTAAAATTTGGAAAGAAATAATGTGGACGAGAAGATTTGGAAAATCGCTAAACTATGTAGAAAAAGAGGTTCAATTACTAAATTTTCGTTTTCATAACTTTATAGAATGGAATCATGAAAATAGTCACAAATAACAGAATGTTTGTCGTAATAATGCACCAAACTATTTGAAGCGCTAAGTGGTCAATAAGATAAGTGGAGCTTTTTGTGTTAAACACACCTAATTCCGACTCCCATATATTTCTGCTCGATTAATATATTACAACCAGTACCAGATCGAGATAAAGACAATTTACAAGTGCGTTAAGTAAGAAAACGTTTTCAGTCAGACTATCTGAACATGGTTTCAACACTGCTTTGTTCTACAATTCCATAAGTTGAAGCCTGTGAATTTATAAATTAGGTGGTCTAAAGGTTGCTCGCGTTCTTTGAATTATGTACATTATACATATTAATTACATACATATTTTGCTGGTTGTTGAGTTCCTGAGTGGTTCGTAATTGGCCAAGATCGGGCTGAAAAACCGTCGGACATGTTAGACAACGAGGCACTATAATTTGATGTTGAAACATAGGCAATATTGTTTCCAGTAGAATAGTTTCCGGAATCAATAGATGTACTTCCTAATGTGATTGTTGGAAGTTTCTCTAAAAACGGTTTGGTGTCAAAATATCTGTCTGTATATATAACTTATCTTATAACTCACCACATGAGGCATAAAATGTTCTATTGATAGCGAGCTGCAATGGATCGCAACATGAATTCGTTTTTCTACCAGTTGAATCACTACAATCTTTTACATCTTTCGTTTTTCGTCTGGGCCTGTATTTGTACTGCGGATGGTCTACCATATGCTGGGTCCTCAATCTTTTAGCCTCATCAATAAATGGCATTTTTTCTATTTCTGAAAATCGGCACACCGTAATTTAAATTGCAAAAAAATACAAAATACAGTACAAATATATAAAAGTTGTATGCCCAACTACTACTAATATAAGCAATATTATTGTATCGTTTTCAAATTTTTATCTAGATTTTAATTATTTTTGATGGAATTTGTAAAACACATAAATGTAAAACACAAAATTTAAAATAATACTAAAATTTGTAAATGACGCGAGGCACACAAAACTATTACATACTACAGCACGTCGCTTTTTAGTAAAATCGCTAAAGATCTATTTTAAATACGACTCGACAGTCGAAATTGTAAAATTTGCTTGTAAAAAGGATTCAAATTACACTTTGTGACAGTAGTGCACTTGTTAAATTAAATCAAAATTTTGTAATTAAAATTTAGGTAGTTTTTTAATAAGCAAATGTATTATTCTTAAAATGCAATGCTACCTGATAGTAGTTTCCATTCAGCTCCAAGGCGCTTAGAAATCTCTGAATTATGAAGTCTCGGGTTTTGACTGAAAACGTGTTTCCTTCTAATTCTTGACCATACCATAAATGCATTCATTGGTCTTTTTATATGATCGGTTGTTTCCAGAGCATCACTTGAAAATAAATGAAATTACTACAAAATCGGTTATACATGGAAGCAAGGGAGCAAGAAAAACAGTTGGTTGAAAGGAGCGAATGTATCTTTTTTAAGAAATTTAGGAGACTCAATAGAAAACACTCAATAAAAGGTATTTTACAAACTAAAAAATGAAATGCTATTGCAATTCATATGATTTTTCAATTTCGAAAGCGCTAAGTACGAGGATGATGCAATGATTCCGCCTGCAACTAAAACCGTTTTAATATTGTGGTAGCAATAACCCAAAAACTATTACAAAACTAATAAAATAAACATAAGTGAAATTTAATAAGTTATGTAAAAAAATTAGTTAAGTTTTAACTTTAAACCATCTGTTCAATAAATTTGTAATAAAAAATAATAAATATCTGTCAAGAAAACACCATCAAAATCTCATAATTTCATCTCATATCTAAGGATCGCTGAGCAAATGTTTTACCAATAAATTTCAAAAATGTACTAAACTTCATAAAAAAATTATATTTAAAATCAAAAAGGAGTAACCAAAATATGTTTTGTTTATATATAAATAATCTGTCTTGATGTGGACATTCGCATGCTGATATTTATGTACTGTGTTTTCATTGCTGTTTGTAAACCAAAAATTCTGGATGTATTTTCAATAAATGACAAAAGTTTTAAGAATATTAGTTAGAATGAACAAAAATTGCTATAGGCAATCAACAAGTTTATACAGTTTCTTTCCTGTTTAATTTATAGAAAAAAATATAAATTTTTAGTTTAATAGGAAAAAAGGAAGAGAAAGAATCATTAAAATTATTAGTTAGAAATAAAAGAAACCAGTTTTTTTCCTTTGTAGCTGACAGGTTTGGAGTAGCCTTTTCAAAAACAATTATCTGCCTTATATTTTTTTAGAGTTATTTATTATTGCTTGTACTTCCATAAATAATGATAATTGCTTCAATTTTACTTCATCATGTACGAAGCATAGAATTGTAAAATAATTATTCATGTAACAAGAAAATATTTAGCTTAATTTTTGAATAACAATTAGTAAAGTGGAAAGAAAAAATGCAAATAATATACGAACCCCATGGCAGAAGAGTTACCACCAGACATTTTGCACCAGTGTTGTCATTGACAGACCGATGAAAAGACTGACCACAAATAAAAGGAGAAGCAATTGCATTTAACGCTCAATAAACATCACATTGTATTATCGACAATGTCCGCATTGTCAGTAACTTTAGAGGAAAAATATTTGTTTACAATCAAAGTAATTGCGGCAGTGAATTGGTATTATTTGGCCAAATAAATACATTTGCGCCCTGGTCCTATTGTTATGTCGGGCTCGTTGTTATTATGTAAAAAGATTGTTCAGAGTGGACTATGTATTGCGTTTGAAGAGGCAAATGAAATGCTGCTAAAGGGGCAATTGGTTGAAACATAATACAATGTTAAACACCGAAATGGTCCTATAACAGTTTTGTATCCAATAATTGTTACGAACATCATGGATGAATACGTATTTTCGAAATACAGAGAATATTTCAGATAATTCTGCAATTATGCAATGTTATATCATTGTATAACGAACTGCTTTATCATTTTCAAAGAGTCCACACATTGTTTTTCTAGATAACATCTATTGAGCAGAAGTTATTCGCCTTAATGAATAAAAACTTCTTGTGTCTAAAATGGCAAAAGTGGTGTCCATATTGATGTCACACTCAATAAAATGTGTTCAAACTTTTGGCAAAAAATCTCCCATATTTGAGATTCAACGATTCTTTTAATTGTTTTATTTCCGAAAGTTCTGGACTTTGTTATGTATTATGTCCTTTAAAACTCCCGCCATCAAATTAAAGGCTTCGTCAATTATAAAATAGAAAGGGTTTGCTGCAGTTTGTGGCCAGATTTAATCTACCTTGCTTGATCTTGAAAGTTTTCTGATTACCTGAAAGGCTTCTGATTCGTGAGCTGAAATTGAAACTTGTCCAAAGAGATCTTGAGATTTAATTTATTTCTTGCAATCAATTAGTGGATATGACTCGATTTGTCGTCGCTAAGTGGTTTTCAGGTTGAATGAGTTCGGGGGGTTGACAAATTGATGATGGCTTGAGAGTTTGAGAAATGTTTAGGGTGAAACGAACTGGTAAATATGAAATTTTATTTCACAAAATACCATGTTGTTATTTTAAAACCAGCCATGTAAATAAAATAAGTAGGATCTTTATTGTTCTAATTATTGAGAGTTAATCGCTTGTTACATGTTCACTGGACCTTTCCAATTCTTACAAAACTTCCTTATTAGGAAAGTCTCAGTCAGTGTACTGGAAATTTAATCACTTAATCCGACGTAATTAAAGATGATATTTCCGTCATCCGCATCCCACATTATTGCACCTGGTAAACAGAATAGGGTTGGTCTGATATAAGGGTTATGGGGATGGGTGGAGGAGGGCTAAAAGATAGGAGCTGCTCCTATTGTACGCACATAAAACAATTATTGTGGCGGAAAGCAGTTTCCCTATACGGATTGGCTACGGTGTTCGCACAATCACAAACGATATATTTTCCGAGGAGAGTACAGTCCATTTTATTTCTCTTTTCGAGTGTTAAATGGCAAGGCGAATTTCATATTTTTCCATAATGTTTAATGGGAATGTTCTATTGCAGTCAGCTGACTAAMCAGCAATTTAATATTTCGGGATTGCTCTATCCATTTACTTTTTCCTTTGAGTATTAACAATCAGTAAGCAAAATTGTTGAACTGGGTTATATTTASGTCATTTGATATTTTTGTTACAAGGAAAKAGKAAATAAAAAGCAATRCATGTAAACTCAAAGAGAAAGAAGCAATACTAAATTTAGCATTAAGTCAAAAAGCATCTCTAAATTTACAGTTCRATTGCGAATACAGTTTCTAAATTTGCGAATGTATCCAAAATTTCTGYATGCACTAAGCTGCTTGAAGATGCTAACCATTCAACAAATSACAACAAGATAAGCCAATAAATTAAAGAAACAAACTAGGCAATGAAAAATTATTTCATACTTCTTYATAGGTGCAGGTATAATTAATGTTCTATCAAATCAATCTCGAAAACAAGCTAATTAAATTTACTCATACAAGTCAACAAAAGCGTCTAAACTCATGAATTCAAAATTGGCTCTAACAGTTCTACCGAATACTACCTATAATTCTAATATGGTGATTGGATGTCTTTAGACGATTTACACGCCCCGTAGTTTCCTATTAAGCGATATGAAAATATTCCGTATTTTGAAAATTAGCGGAACAATATATCCTTAGGAAAATTGCGCGACTGCCAGTTAACCGGCACAACAGCATAGAAACGAAGGTTAATTAAGAAATCTCGATAATTAAAGAGTCATCTGCAGACGATGTTATGCCAATATTTTCTTTCATTGATTCATCTTAACTGGGAATTTCCTTTTACACCCTGTTTATTTTAGGTAAATTAACTTAACCACTTTTGTACTTTCAAAAGAAAATAAATGAATCTTCTAAGCTGCTTTTTCATATATGCGTGATTTGATTTTTTTCAAGATTCTCATTTCAGAAAGCTGATGTTCTCAGGCTTAATGCGCCATCATTGAATTTTATTTATTTCATATCGCTTGTGGTATTTTCGTAGTAACTTATAGTGAAAATATTGGAAAATTAATATTTTCAGAAGATATAATCCACGACAAACAATACGGATTTTTGCCTCGCCATCTCCTGTCCGGAAGACACTATTTCACTTAATGTAAGTCTTACATATTATATTGATACAAATGTTTTGCAAGACATTTATATTTGCTTAAAATGTTGATCTCGTAAAGTGTGATCAGCTGCTCAGTTCAAGTTTATCAAATTATACGCTACTCTAGATTTTAGATTAAGCTGCTCTAAACCTCTAAACAAAATTTTAATGGCAATGTTTCGGTTCAAAATGCTAAAAAGCCTAGTTACTCAAAACAAATCCTAAACAATCCTATATAATAAATTTCAATTTGCACAAACGAATTATCAGAGCGAATTTGTACATACTGTATTATTCTACTATTGTTACACAATTTATTAACATACTCTTTTTTAGGTTCATTTAGGTTCTTTTGATAACGATAGCAGAAAATAGCTATCGAA